CAACAGTACTCAAAATTTACTTTTCTGTTTCAGTGCTGCTTTTGATGACAGTAATTGTTTTTATATAATATTACTCATTGTTTTTTTTTTTTTTATCTTCAAACATTACCTAATAGATAATGAATTTCTATTATTAAGTAGCAAAATCCTTAACATTTTAGTTGTGCAGACCTCTGTAGTTAAATCTGTACGACTAACTTAAATGTTCTGGTGTTGAGGAAATTTGAACCATTTGTCATCTTCCTTACATTCACCTGGAGTTTTAATTGAATCTAACACAGTAATGTTTTTGTTGGTGTCCTTTGAAGGTATTTAGTAGTTTTTACTGCTTGTCAAATTCATTATTTTTTTTTATTTTTAAATGTCTAGTTTTTATTATGAATTACAAAGAAGTATACCAAGTGTTTTTTTAAGGGAAAGAAATGTAACTGTTGTCAGGAAGATGTAGTAATTCCAGAAAAGAATGCAACTGTAATATTTGTTGGCTTGTTTCAGTGTATTTAAAAGAATTGTTAATATATTTGCTCTTTGTATTTGTTGGCGTTGTTATAATTTACGCCTAAGTGGCCCCCTGCCCATTTTGGTTAATTAATGGCTGACTAATGATGTGCTGGATTGAAGTGTTGTGTTTGCCTTAGGTGTGACTTCGCCCATTTACACTGTAGTCAGACCACACTGTGTTTACTCTCAATCTGTACCTCCATCTCTCTTTCTCTCTCTGTTTCCGTGTGTGTGTGTGTGTGTGTGTGTGTGTGTGGTGTGTGTGTCAGAGTGGGGGGCTGTGTGCAACAGGACTCTGGTGAACTACCCAAACAGATGCTGATTAGTGTGAGCTGCTTAAAGTAGGAATGAGCATATGGATTGGGCTCATTAAGTTGACAGTACTTTACAAAAATACTGCCTTTCAGGAAAAAAAAGGGTGCATCTTTGTGCTGTTGAATTTTAGCCCAAAATTTACTTTGGCATAATTTTTTTTTACCTACTAACACTTTTTTTTTCCATCTCTAATTATGCTTTCATTTGTTCCTGTATATAGTGGAATTGATCTAAGATTTACCAAACTTCTAATCCAAGAGAATTGAATAGGAGATTTGAACGTCTGAACAAACGACTGAAAGTTTGCCTCTTTTAGCACCACAAAATGAGCCAACTTAGAGCTGCTTCTGGCTACGCATAAATCTCAAGTGGAAATGGAAATATTCCACGCAGCTGTGAGCTTTCAGAGATGAAGCCTAACATGCAAGCCAACAGGAGTTGCTAGATGGCATTATTACTATTAGTACACATAAAATTTGAGCTTAAAGTTGCATATTGTTCCTTTCAAGACAATAAAAGTGGATGAATCTCGCCTAGCAATCCTGTTGTTTGCTTCAAACGTAAGATTTTGGAGCCTTGTAGATGTCTGGTCGCACAAACCGTACGCCATCATTACGTCACTCCTGCACGCAGTGACTACCTCCCTCGGTGAGTCTGGGGTGGGTAGACTTCAACCCCCCTCGTTGCATCGCTTCTTTCACAAAACACATGGAAATAAAAGGTGCCTTAATCAGCATTAAAGTATTTTATGAAAGGGGCTGTTGCCTTAGACCACTAGTTGAAGATTACGTGTACTCAATCTGTATATTATTTAATTATGACTCCGAAGTTCTTACATATTCTTTTATTTTTCATAGGCCATTAGTGTTTATGTTATGCTTGAGTATTTTTTTTTTTTTTTTTGGAAACTTGAACTCTAAACCAACCTTTGAGATTTTCTTTTAAACTGGCAAACAAAATAAAGTTGGAAAAGTTGAGGATGTATTTTTGTGAAGCGCTGTACTTATTCCCAAAGTTAAATGTACTTATATATGGAAATTTAAGACTTGTATCTGGAGTTTTGTTAGATAAATTTGTGCAGCATGTTCATATTTTTCAAAGCATTTCTATTTTAAGTTGTCCTCGTATCTGGATTGCTTGTAGCGCCTGGGACAACCTGAGGTATTCACAATGTTTTCTTTCTCTCTGACTCTTCTGCTCTCTGGCGCATCTGTACTCCAGATTCAGTGTAGTTCTGTTGCCCCTCTTTCTCAGTCCCTTTCTTCCTTGCACACATATCTTCTTCTGTGACTCCTTTTTTCAATTCTCCTTGGTTCTCCTTCTACCCTCTCTCTCTCTCCTTACCTTTCCCCCCTCTCTTTTTTTTTCTTCTCTCTCTCTCTCTCTTTCTCTCTCTCTCTCCCCCGATCCCTTGCTCTCTCCCAGTGAAAGGCTGAGAATACCCAAGGGAGCTGATGCAATTAAAATGCTAATCCTGTCTGTCTACAGAGAGAGGGAAAGGGGGGGCTGACAGCATGAGGGATTGCGGCTCACATGGAGAACTCGACTGAAATGGAGAACAGGGGGTGGGGATGGGGGGGGCACTGGGGGAGAGTGTGTGTGTGTGTGTGCATGTGTCGTAAGGGTGCGTTGAAAGGGAGAGGGGGGAGGGGATGTGTGTTGGGGGAGACAGAGTGAAAAAGGGGATGCTAGCGAGGGAAAAGACAGACGAGGATAAAGCTTGTGCTCTGAGCTGAGCAATGATATACTGACGGCGTTTAAGCCTTATCTATGCCTATGTAAGGAAAGCATTGCAGTTAATGTACAGCACTACACTGTTGGCTCAGTTGTTCACCTTTACCTGCACCACTTTTTATTTCGTCTTTTGTATCTGCACGGCACAATGTTTCTACTTTGGCTGTGCAGAAATGAGAATGATTATGTATGCAGAGAGAGCCCAGCTGGATACCCTGAATATTTCATAGTATGTGTTGCTCGCTTAGTCTTCCAATGCCACACCGCCCAGCCAGACTTGTAACATATGCATAATGGTGATTTCTAAAAGCTATAAATGTTGGCTGTGAACCTGTCTTATTGTCTTAAAAATATTAGTGTTTTGCAGTTGCAGCTCTTTTTGAGGTTTTTTTTTTTTTTTTTTTTAGGATTCCTAATGGAGACCTACATAATTTATGTGAAAAAAAAAAAAAAAAGTAACTGGCCACAATTAAACGACTGCACCAAAGTATGCAGTTCTGATATTTTCAGCTTTCAGAAACTGTTAATTTTACTTTTTGGTGATTTTTATTGTAATCTTTTTTTTTCCTTTTTTTTTTTTACAGTCCTTTATTATTTTTAACTCATCTCAACAGCTGCTGTAATATCACTGGGCCACTAGATTGTGCATGAGTGCAATTCTGGGTAATCACAGCTTAATTGGAGTAATTAGGGGAATGTTGGGGCATTAGGCTACAGCTGGGGGCCATAATGAGTCACAGTAAAAAAGGAGAAAGGGGGGGTAGTTAGGTGAGAAGCTCCAAAAGCAGCAGTTGCCCTCTTGTCGGTAGGTCAGTGTCCGTCTCACTGGGCAGCAAAAGTGAGAAAAAGTGAGAAATCCACAAATCTTTACCACCTTAATCGTTTTCCTTGAAGCTTCAGTCAGGAGACTCGCAACAAAAAGTTTTGGTAAACAAGTTAATTTGATAATTGTCGGCCCGTTTTTAAGAAGTTGTTGGCTATCTGACTAAAAAGTGCAGAGATCGCTTGTGTTTTTAAAAGTGGGGGGGGGGGGGGAGTGAAAAGGAGGGAAAGAGATGGGCGAATCAGGGTCATTAGTTCAGGCAACTGGGTCTGCTGCATTCCTAAGCCCTGAGATGGGGGAGCAACACAGCAGGAATGTGCCTTTGGTGGAGAAGAAACATAGGGGAAGGGAGAGAAAAAGGCAAGCAGAAACAATAAGAAAAGTTAGCGAAGAAGCAAAGGTGGGCCTGGTAATGCGGTGGAAAAACTTAGCAAATTAACTTGGGGAGAAAAGAAAATGAAAACCGTCTTCAGATTTCTTTTTTCTTTTTTTACACCATTGAGTAGCCCTTGATTGCTTCACACATAAAAACACAATTTTATTGTAAATAAGCCTAAAAAAATTTTTTAACCAAGTGAACAGAGAAGCGCATGAATTTGGAACGAAAAACTTATTTGACGTAAAAATGTACCTCGAACAAATTCTAAAAAAATTTGCATTTTGACAAAAATCATTAAATTACCTAACGCCACACAGTCACTGCTGGGATTATTTATCCCCGTTATTTAAAACCAACGGCTATTACTTTCATGATACGCATCTGAATCTATTGTCCACTTAAAATAACCCACACCTGTGAATACAGGTTCAACCAATATTTACATTGTAATGCAAATTAACTTAATAATCATTATCCAGTAATTATATTTGTTCAGTATTTCTTATTAACATAACAGTCTGACATACAAAAAAGCGTTTACTTTAATGAGATTTAAACATACAATAAACAACTGCGTGTCATTTATCACGTCGTAATTTCCTACAAGTTTCTAACTCTTGTTACTAAAGTGAAGACGCTGATTTGTTCAAGAGACTTCCGCGCTTACTTTCTGAAGTTGAATGATTGAAACGCAATGAGGGCAGGAGGAAATTTAGTTAAGTGTTAAAAGCTGCAGGCCCTGAGAAAAGATTATTGTTTGAAGTTAAAACTTTGGTAACGGAGTGGTGTCTGTAAGGGCGAGTGTGTGTGTGTCTGGGAATGTGTGTGTGAACGAGAGAGAGATGAGAGCAAGGCTGTAGGCTGACAGAGGTCCTGGTATAATACAGTGGTGGAGAGCAGCGACTGATAACTATACTTATGGCCACTGGGGCTCATAGTGACAGCACATGCACTTCTATTACTGGCCTCATGCCTCATGCCCTTATCTCTGGCAGGCTGCCATCGAGAGACCACACTGCCCTCTGCTGTTTGTTTAGAGCAACTCCACGCTTTAAAGAAAATTCACCCTGTATCCAACCAATCGGACAATAAACATTCCTGAGTTTTTACAGAGCAGCTCTTCGTTTTTTTTGGTTTTTTTTTTAAATAATAAATCTTCGTCACATCCAGTTGTCTGTTCATAATGACTCTTAGTTGTAGTTGCCGACCCTACTTGTCTGACTTTCGTGTGTTTTCTTTCCTCTCTAGTTCTGAGTATACGAGGTGTACAGGAAGAAGACCCCCCAGACCCCCAAATCATGCGGCTGGACAACATGTTGCTTGCAGAGGGCGTGTCAGGACCAGAGAAAGGCGGGGGATCGGCTGCAGCCGCTGCGGCTGCAGCCGCGGCGGGGGGCTCGCCCACCGACAGCAGCATCGAACACTCTGACTACAGAGCCAAACTTGCCCAGATCCGTCAGATATATCATTCTGAGCTGGAGAAATATGAACAGGTTTGTTCTGAGCAGACTGAAACCTTTGAACTTGAACAAAGCCTCCCTTTTGTTCATTTTATTTGGCTTTGCAAAAGTAATGCACAAATAGAAAAACGGATATAAAATGGGAACTGAAACAATTCCTCAATACCCTTTTATTTATTTTAGCACTTGGACAGTTATTGCAGTCTAAAATGGCTAAAACTATTGTTAGAGCGGCTCTAATCAATCAGTCTGATATTAGAGTTTTTTGATTGAATCTACTGTTTTATCCCTGTAATACTTCTTCATATGAAGTTAATCTGATCAGTTCAGCACTCATCCTAATCTGTACTCTTCAGTAACACATGCACTTCATCCCATCTTTTAACAATAGCACTTAACTCCTTTCTGTTCTTTTTTTTCTTTCTTTTTCCCAGGCCTGCAGTGAATTCACCAACCATGTAATGAACCTGCTGAGGGAGCAGTCTCGCACACGGCCCATCTCTCCCAAGGAGATTGAACGCATGGTGGCCATAATCCACCGTAAATTTAGCTCCATCCAGATGCAGCTCAAACAGAGCACCTGCGAGGCGGTCATGATTTTGCGCTCGCGCTTCCTTGATGCCAGGTCCGTCTTTGTGTTTTGGTTGTAATTACGCGACACCGGTATGCTTGACATGTTCTTCAAATGCCCAACCTGTTGCTCATGATCTCTTTTGTGCGCGTCAGACGTAAGAGGCGCAACTTCAACAAGCAAGCTACAGAAGTACTGAACGAGTATTTCTACTCCCACTTGTCTAACCCCTACCCCAGCGAGGAAGCAAAGGAGGAACTGGCCAAAAAGTGTGGGATCACTGTGTCTCAGGTGAATCGCTTACACAGCTGCTGTCCAAAATAGTTGCTGGTAAAGCAAACTGAAGGTCACCATCTGTTAAATCCCGACAGCTTTGAAATGTTATTTTCTGGTGAAAAGAAATGTAATTTACAAGCCAACAGGTTTGTCGCCATTTTTAGCTAAAACTAGGAATGCACCATACAAATTACAGATTTTATGGATTTGAAAAGACTTGGAGTACACACACCAACACTTTGGGGATCACACACTTAACAACTATGTGCACTGAGGGTTAGCAGGCTACACGATTTGTCAAACCAAATTAACCCAATTGAGTTTGGAACGGCTCCCCTCACATACAGAGACTCATCTTTACCTCTTACTCAGTAAACAATTTTCTGCCAACAATTTATACTGACTGTCCTCAATTTGAGCAGACTGGTGCAAACCGAGTAGAGTCATGGCTTTCCTATTTTTATTTTTATTTTTTTAGCTTTAGGGGTGATTCTGCAGCTAAACAAATGTTTATTCACGGCTTTATAACATAAAATCCATGTGTTCTTCAGGTCTCTAATTGGTTTGGCAACAAGAGAATACGCTACAAGAAGAACATCGGTAAGTTCCAGGAAGAAGCTAATCTGTACGCGGTTAAAACGGCGGTGGATGCTGCGAATGTGTCAGCGCAAGCCAGTCAGGCTAACTCTCCAGCAACACCCAACTCAGGTATTGGCGCAATCCCTCCTCATCTCATAGTCCTACTTCCTGGCTTTTATTGGTGAGGATTTTTTTTGTTTGTTTGTTTCTGAGCCTTTGCTGGTTTTTCTGGTTTCTGGGCGACACCCGGATCTTTTTCTGGCATTTTGTGTTAAGAGTTTTTATAAGCGACAGGCGTTTGGGGAATTTTCTTTTTTATTATCTCGCAGCAAGTGTTGATGCATTTACTAGTCAAGACATGTAGCATTTTGAATAACTGAAAGTCTTTCTGGAACAATGCTAAGGTTTTTTTTAAAGACTTTTACATGTATTTTATCTCATTTGTGTGATATCTGAAGTTGTATATCTTTTCTTGCCATAAATTGTCCTTCTAGATCTTTATGGTGATTTTGGTAGCTTACTGTTTTGGTTTTTGATATTCCACAGACATCTTGTGTTCTGTTTTAAGGTTTCTACACTCAAAGGAGGAACATGAAAGTTTCCATGGTTGACTAAAATAGTTAATACTGTCAGGCATGCAGTTGGTTTGCACCGTGAGCCACAGTCGTTTCCTCGGAGATCTTCTTGTTGTTGAAACTGAATTTGGCCAAATGTAAGACAGATAATTGAAACTTTTCAGTATTTATTTTTGTGCTTGTGGTCATTTGCAAACTGTAACTTGCCTTTGTGTGTTGCTTCTGGAGTAATGACCTCTTCCTCTCTTATTGACCTTTCAGATGACGGTGGTACAAGTCTCATTTTAGTATAGATAAGGACAATCTCTTAACTTGCTTCAGCCAGCCCCGTTGCAAGTTTTGTTTTTGCTTTTTTTTTTGTTGAGTTAATACACACATAGTACAAAACACGTTTCTTCTCCGGAACACACGTTGATGTTAATTAATTCAAACTTCTGAACTACTAATGTAAAGAAAGAAAAGAGAACAAATACAAATCTTCCATATATTATAGCATTTAGCAAATATAAATAATCCCAACTGACCTAAAACAGGAAACATTTAGCTAGATTTAAAGTTTTTAATACAATGTGTGAAATGATCTGATTTTAACTGTATATGGATGTATAGAGAAGGTCAACCTAACTATATACATAAAAATGCACGCATGCTTTCTTAAGGGTCACCATGCAGCTTTTCTCATGCAGGTGATACCTACCTTGGCCAACGTTCCCTCAATGGTGAGGGTCTCAACTTTACCCCCTCTCTACAGCTGCAGGTATGCAAAGAGGACAGCTGCAGAGTTGGAGTTGATCCCCATGGTGTAAACCGTCCGCAGAGCATCCCTGTATATTTTCCCTTAGCCTAACTCCTTCTGACACCTCGTCGGATCCCGTCCTGACTGAACCTTTGATATTATTACCACTAGATCCTGCCCCTCCACAGTGCAAACTGACCATTGTTTCTTTAGAGAGAATTGGGATATTGAAAGTATTGGATTTTCTATCTTGCGTACATATGTCAAAACCCATTACAGGGTATATCAGAGCTCTGAATCAAGGCTTTCCAACTCGAAGCACGCAACTGAAACAAACCCATGTATAAAGGATGGCATTCAAACCAATAATCTCTTTGATTAATGGTCAGTTTCTTTGCCTCTAGGCAATCCTGTTCCTCCAACAGCAACACAGCTTCCCGTCTATGCCAGTTCTTGTTTTCCCATCCAAACATTTCGTATTACCCCTTTATCCATGTAGCTAGTTTTTATTTGTGTTCAGTTGGTCATTTGTTGAAAGTGGTGTTTTGCCATTTGTTAAAAATCCACAGATTTCTGTTGTAATGCTTTATACGGGGCTCGCAAATCAGACTTATTGTTTGGTTTCACTTTCTCTTACTGGTATGTCTGATTGCTTGGGCAATGTTTAAGCTTAAACTGGGTGGAACCGCATCAGCAGGGCACTTAAAGTGCAACTATGCCCCAACCCCACCCCTGTGGAAGCATAGCTTGAGAAATTTAGGGGAAAAAAATTCCAGCTGGGTGGAGCCAAGAAACGCCCGAGGAGAGTGACCAAGTGTTGGGGATAAGAGGGCCTGAACGGGTCTGTAGTCGGAGCAAAAGATGCACTTTTACCAACTTATTAACTTTGTCGCTATATTTATACTTTAGGACTGCTCTGTCCTGAAGTATGCCGATAGTCAGAGCAAAGGAGACTCACTCAGACTCCACATTGCAAATAAATCTCACATTTGTAAAGCTGACTCGCCGTTGACCACACTTGCTGTTCCAATTCCTGACTCGCCACCAGGCTGGGGCTGTGTCTCCGAGGGAGAGGCTTTTATACCCAAGTTGGACAACTGATAAAAAGTTGTGTTTTAAACATATGAGAATTTAACTGTGAAGGCACCGTTTGACAAAAGGGACCATCACAAATAATGTGGAATTAAATTGATACACTGTCAGACTTCACACAGAAACATTAAGATGCAACCCTGAATAATCTATGCAAACTGTTTATCAGCCAAAAAAAAAAAAAAGTTGATTTGAGGGTTGGTTACACTTGAAGGCTCTTTCAGATCGCTTCACAAATACAACCTCAACCTTTAGCTTAGACGCCCACACTGCTTTCTGTGAATTGAAATAGTTATCAGACCAGATGAGCACCGGAGAATAATTTTGCATCTATTCTTTTTGCAACTTCCTGTTGCTATCTTTGCGTTAAGCCGCATCGGGTCAGCCTGGTTTCTCTCCTGGCTCTTTCTGCTCACAGTGGTTAGGCGTCTGTGTTTTGCACCCAAAGACGATCAAGCGGTTATTTTGGTTGGTCAACTTAAACCACTCCGTTTCATATCGGGACCTTTCAGCTGACAGAACATTTGTAGATTGAAAGTGTGGCCTAAAAGGGGCTCGAGTAATGCACACTACTTCGCTTGCATTATGTCGAAGTTTGTGGATACCAGCTGCACTTTGTTGACCCGTTGATGACAAATTTTCTTCTGTCATTAAAAATGTTAAGCTTTAAATGTTTCTTTTCACAGGTGGATACCCTGCACCGTGCTACACACCTGACGGGCGGCTATGAGGAGTTGTCAAGCAGCGGCCTCTTCACCCCTCATCGCCTGGATGTAAGTCTGTGTTGTTAGCGACCGCTACTGTATTCTCATGTTATCGGAAATTTAAGGATGGAAAAAATGACATCCATCCAGTTGGATATCTTCATAATGTTGGTTCAGTAGCTTGCTTTTTCTGCCATTTGTCCAAGCTTTTTTTAACATATGAAATTCAGCTTACAAACAACTTAAATGCGTATTTTAAAATATGGCACCATCTTTTAATATATTATATATACCAATTACATTTCATTGCCGTTTTAAAAATTCAGATTTCCAGAGATTAAGCAATTTTGCAGCAACTGTTCACAGTCTAACAAATTGCTATAGCCATTAGCAACTTGCAAGTCATCCACTTGTCTTAATTTTTACACGTCTTAAAACGTGTCCAATATTTCAAGGTGTTACAGTAGAAATGGTTGAAATTTGTCCATTCGTTGCATCATCCTGCAACATTTGCCGTTTTCTCTGCAGCTTTACTGGAAGAATTTAGATGTTAATGTGACGTAACTAAACTACAAACACCATGATCCTGGGTAGAAAAAAAAAAAAGCATTAAACACAATTTATTTGGGTCATAAGTTTAAATTACGGCCTTAAATGTAAACTTCCTGACGCTTGCAGAAATATTTCAGTTGCATGTGAATTGTGCTCAGTTATTTGACCAGGATTTTCCTCAACAAGGACACCGGTAGCATATTTTAACCAATTAAGGTAAGAAATTGGTCATCAGTCTTCATCTCTGTGCCGCTTCCCTCCTTGTCTGACTGCAGGCTAACAGCTGGCAGGACACCACCAACCCGCCCTCGGTTACCTCCCCTCCTGGTCCACCTGGCAGCGTCCACTCTGACACTTCCAACTGATCTGGTGGCTTTACCTGCCTTCTCTTTATTCCCACTGTGGTCTGCTGTTAAAAATCATCTTGTGTTCCTATTTTTCTTCTTCTTTTTGTTTTTATTTTTTGTTTCATTTCTCCCCTGTGAACAGGCCACATGAAGTTGTATACATATTTCATTCACACTTGCTGTTCTGGACCACAGGACAGCTGTACAGTAGCTGGGAGGAAATTCTCCTTTCACCTTCATTCCAGTTCTCCGCTCTTTAAAAGTTAAAAAAAGGGGGGAATGGAGCTCAGAGACATAAAGAAAAACATCCTTATTGTCAAGGACTTTTGGGGGGGGGAAATGAAAAAGAAAAAAAAAACACACATCCAGCTGTGTAGATGATCATGATGTCTGTACATTATGTGTATATGCACGTTAACTTTACACAGTACTCCCACGGCTTGTTCATGTGCTGTTTGACCTTTACACTCAACTCTTTGCTTTGGGAAACTGTGTGTAATTGCCCGTATCTGCTGAAGCCTTGGCATCTGACAGCCAAACTGTGGTTACGGACCACCAGGGAGCTCTAGCTCACCTTGCTTGTACCAAAGTGCTGCCCCAGTGTTCCTCTGAGATTACCCTCTGCCTACTCAACACAAGACACTGTTGCATCAATGTATCCTTCTGTTAGGATTTTAAGGTGAGCAACTGACATTTTGCACAGAGGTGCACGCAACCGTCCCCAAAACGTACCGCTCACAACTTGTCGGCAGTTCCCGCTACGAGCCGACACAAACGATGTGTCAAGCACAGATGTTAGCATCCTTACTATGGGTTTGTACCCTTCCAGGAAGGTGAGGGGGATCACTGCTCCGAACCAGGCAGGACGAGAGACGGTAGGGCTGGTGTGAAGAGAATAGGAGAACATCTTTGGTTGAGCATATGTAACCAATAGCTCTTTCCACTGCTAACCCATTGAGGGTGTTGGTAGATGGCTTGTAGACTTTACTTCTTTCTTTCTGTCCACTAGTTTATTTGATTGTAGACTATTATCTAATGCTGTTTCACCAAGAATGCACCAGCCACCACCAAAAATTAGCTCAATACGACATCTTTATGACAAAACGAAGGGTGGAAAGATCGCGAGGCATCGATGTATTACTGGAACAAATGTGACATGAACTTAGAAATGTGACTGTCTTCCATGCATGTAGGACTTCTAGGTGTTATACTGTTTTTTCATTTACGTTTTTAGCTTAATTTGTATTAACGAAAGAAAAGAAAAAAATAAATGAAATAAAAGGTAAAACTATTACAGTCAGACCAAAACCAAAAAATAAATAAAAGTACATCACATGTTGATGTGTCTGTGTGGACGTGTAAAAGGTTCCTGGGATTATCTTAGTCGAACTGGCTGGTGCTCCTTCGAACTTTGTAAGCATTATGTAGACTGGGTGCTTCCACCAGCTAACGACACGCGAGGTGGGGTTCAACTGAGATTTTTTTTCCCCCCATCTTGGAAACTTAAGCTTGTGAGCCTGAGGCAACATGTTAACAACCTGATGTTGTACCAAAACCAAATATACAAAGTTCAGCAATGTAATAATGCTACTTTTTTTAAACATTGGTGCGCAGTCGCCTTTTACATTAGAGGAGAGGAGGGAATTCTGTTTGTACCTGTGTCTCTTTTGTGGTGTTGTCATGCCTCAAGTTGGTTTCTTTATTTTTTTTTTTGTTTTGTTTTTTGTTTTAAATGGGGCTTCATAAATGATGGGTGGAGTGAACACTCATCACACCTGTGATTTGATTGTGAGCATAAAAGAAATGCTCTGCCCTTTCTTTGTCCTTTAATATCTGGTAAAAAAAAAAAAAACTTTTTTTTTTATGTTCCATGGCCAATTGGGCAAGGGCTTCTCTCTCTCCTCTGTTACCAAAAAAAAAAAAAAAAAAAGAGGCAGCACTGGGTGTAGTAAAACTCTTAATTTGTGTGTAGGACAAACCTGCCACATTTTGGCGATTTCCATTCGTTAAAGCTGTTTTATACATTAAAGATCACGTGAACAACGAAGCATTTTGATAGTAAGGTAAAGCCTTGTTAAGATTTGTCATTAAAGAGTTTGTTTGAACCATGTTACAAAACAGAAGCTGAGCTCGAAAGCCGGTCACATGTTTTTCTCTCGCGTTTCATTTCCCGTTTTGTCTCTCGCAGCAGCTCGTTGTTGCTGCCGTCTCGAGTAAAGGCGTCGTCACACCAAATTATCATGCCGCCCCTTTTTTTCTACTTGTTGTAATGGATGTCACTGTACAGTTTGTGTAATGTTTCAGTACATTTTCTTTTTTCTTTTTCTTTTTTTTCTTTTATAAAACTGTTTGGTTGAGATATCTACTGTTTCACAGGATTCACGCTAACTCTGTATTGGCTTTGAATATTATTTAGATCTTTTGTTACATAACCAAGTTGCAGTGTAGGATGAACAAATGTAATGTGGTGCTGTGGAACTATTTTTATTTTATTTTCCTATAACTATTTTGTCCTTTTTTTTTAAATTTCCACATTGGGTTTGTTTTCACTTCTTGAATGCTTAGACTACAAGCTTCCCCTCGTTTGTTGCCTCGGTGATTTGCCACTATTGCCATTCACCTCAATTTATTACAGCAGAAACATCAATGCCTAAATACTTGATGTCAATATATACACTTTGTGAGCTCATGCATTTTGCAGCGGCGTTGTAACTCATCAATAAAAATAATCCTATTGTAAACTAACAAGTATTTTGATCATTCGACTGGTTTAGTTCCACAGCACCAAATGTCTTTGTAAACCTTCATTTGTTTGTTTTTATTAGTATATTTGTATCTCCCTCTTTCCCTTGTATTTACCCCTCTCTCTACCTCTGTCTTTCCATTTCTCTTGTATATAACCCCACTGTTTTCAGACTTGTGAGTCTGTATGAACTCCTTTTATACCTCAACTTTAGAATTGATCTAGAAAGAGTAAAACAAAACGGAAGAATATGACAAAATTGTAGTGTTCTTATTAGAAAATTAATAAAAAAAAACAATTTAGTGTGATTTTTTTTTCAGTATTTCATTTTAGGAGTGTTTCATTTTATAAGTTGTCACAAATGCTCTTGTGATAGTCAAATGTAATAAAAGGAGAGATTGCACCATCTGTTGATTTTTAGGTGAATTTGTTAGCTGCACAAAGACTGAAGACAAAAAAAAAAATTCTCAAATGCTAACTATAATATTTTTTTTCCTTTAATTCATTCAAAATTTTTAACGTCAACACAAGATTTACAAATATATACACTATGGTTACAATACGTTTGATTTTCTGTCATACCACAGAGTCTGTCCCCTTGTCATCTTTACTGTCTGTCCGGATTCTTCCACAAGACTGAATCTTCCAACTTGTAGCTAAGAGATTTCTGCAGACGAGAAAAAAAAAGTTTTTGTTTTACAATTGCAGAAAAGGCCATTACTTACACAATTACTCAAAAAAAAAAAAAAATGAATCACGAGATGGTATCCTTGTTCCAAGGCATTAGTTTGACAAGATAACCGCTAACAAGTAAGAACAAGCAAGTTTATTCTGCTCCAAGAAGTGAAACTGGAATGGCTCACAGATGGGATGATAAGATATCGGAGGAAAAAAAACTGAAGAGCTGCCATCAAAGTGAAACGTATCCTGAGGTGCTTTGAGTGCATGTAGACTCCCTGGCTCCATTTTGATGAGTTACCTCTTTCAATGGAGAGTCCATTTCTGTCGACAGAGTCTCCCTGGGCTGACAGCCTCCATGTCGACAGAAGCAGCAAAGGATCCACTTGAACGTTTTCCGCATCTCGGCGTCGCGTAAGGAATAAATGATCGGATTGACCAGAGAGTTGCACTCCGCTATCACCAAACAGTATTTCTCGTATTTGTTGGCGTTGCCATTTTTACCCTGCAGCCCGTCCAGGAGGAGAACGATGAGGCCAGGTGTCCAGCAGATCACGAAGGCGCCTGCAGAGATGTGGATCGTTTATGGGGACGGAAATGAGCAAAGAACTCATGCACATTTTTTCACTGATGATGCCTGACAAGCTATGGCACAACTGTGTAAGGTCACATTTCTCCATGGTTGCGCAACATCAATGACGCAGAACATATTTACAGACAGGAACTTGGTCACCTGAGTAGTAGAAAGGTAGATTATAACAGTGTTTCCCAACCCTGGTCCTCAAGGCTCACTGCCCTGCATGTTTCAGGTATTCCCTTGCTTCAGTCCAGCTGATTTCAATCGATGACTGATTAACAGGCGTTTGCTGAACTGCAATCAGTTGAATTAGGCGCATTAAAGCTGGGAAACCTCTAAAACACCTAGGACAGTGTGCCTTGAGGACCAGGGTTGGGAAACATTGGATTATAAGATGGAACAATTCCAACTTAAATCCCCTACAAAAACAAAGATAAGGGAAGAAAGAACGGGTTTGCAGAGAAATGCAAGATATGTAATCTTGACAAGTCTGCACTTTGTAAAACATTTGTTTGCTCTGAGTCATTAGTTTACGTTCCTGAGAAATACGTGTTTGCCCTTACCCAGCACCATAGAAATGGTTTTCATCAGGTTGATGATGGTCTGCTGCCGTGCCTCCGAGACGTGCTGAGAAGTGTGGCGACCCTGGCGTTTCACGTGAAAGAATATGTGAGAGTACATGCCCAGCATAACGAAAAAGGTGAGCAGGTTGAGAAGTGCCCAGAAAATCAAGAAGCGGCGGCTGTAGAGGGGCGCGACAGTGGAGCAGTCCGAGAGATCGCATTCGCAGTTCCAAAACAGCGACGGCACCAGACCCATGATGATCCCTACGGCCCAGATGGAGATGATGAGCAGCACCACGCGCCTCTTGGTCATGGTGCTGTGCAGCTGCATAGTGATGATGGTCTGGTGGCGTTCCACAGCCACCGCCAGGAGGTTGGCGACGGAGGCAGTCAGGCTGATGTCGATCAAAGCCCCACGGATGTACCACTGCTTCTTGGTGAGCGTCGCTGTCCAGGGTCCCGTGTTGAGTATCAGGTTGGTATAGGCCAAACCTGCAAACAAGTCTGCTGCTGCCATGTTTCCCAGCAGGTAGTAAATGGGGAAGTGGAAGCGGCGGTTCATGAGGATGGCTGCCATCACCAACAGGTTGGCCAACACCACTATGAAAGATAAGGGCAAGCCTAGTCCTAGGACCAGGTAGTCCCGCGTAGTCCAGTTCCCTCCGATCGCTTTATTCGCATGTTGATAGAAGAAGGTGACGCTTTGGTTGCTGTAGCAGCTGCTCGACGTAATGTTGTCAATGGTCATAACTGCAAAGAAGAAGAAAAAAAAAAGGCAGAAAATGTTGAAGGGAGAACAACATGCAACTACTAAAACCACATCCTATAATTTACAGGAATTTACATATTAGAACTCAAAAATGGTTTGGTTTTTACCGGCTACTACAATTTTTAAATCTATGCGTCCCGTGAACCACACATCAGGTTCTGCATTTTTATTGAGGAAACAAAAAAAAAAATGGAGAAGCAGCTAGTAAAAAAGATTCACCCTTGCTGCTTTCATAGGATTTAGAAAAAAAATGTCTCCTCACAACAAGTGTTGCTGTTCATCAATCTAAAAAAGGATTAAACAATTTCCAAATAATTTGAACTCAAATCAGGTTTTTCACTTGAGCGCTGACCTTTTCTGAATGTGACCCAACAAATTTAGCCCAACATTAGAGAGAGAGAGAAAAAAAAAAAAAAACAGCTGAGACTCTGCAGGGATTACATGGTATGTTAAATGCAGTTAGAAAGAAACTGAACCTGTATGGCCTGTTTGAAAGGAGTGGGGAAGCATCATGTATTATTCTGACATGACTTATTACCCCCTGCCCCCAAGACATTTCGCAAAGTTGTATTTAAAAAAAAATAACCCACAAAACGTCTGAAGCAATGTCCTTCAGAGGAGCAAATGTTGGTCCCATTGCAGATATTTGGCAACAACCAAATACGACATCATCACAAACACCTCACAGAAACTGTCAAGCGTTTCACTGGAGGCATAAAGACTCAACCAAGAAGAACTCAATGAGTAAAACGTAAAGCTGCGAAGAGAAGTGGACCAACATTTTTGCACAAAAGCAATTACATTACAGGATGTCCTCATTTAAACTCAATGTTTCATTCTGGCTTTACTTTTTTTTAAAAAGCAAACCCGTTATGTGTTTTTCTACGTTTAAGGTTCGATTTTAAGGATTTTCCGATATGGTTAAAATGGATGTTGTGCCGCTGTAGCTGAAAGAATCTTTGCTCTTATTTTCATCCCTTTTGCAGTTGTTATGATGCATAACTGGGACAACAATGCATTGTTTTTACAAATGGGAGCAGCCAATTAGCTCTCAAAGCTCAAATAATGCCGCAGATTCCAGAGGATTGCTTTAAAGTGGAAACCAAAACCAGAAAAACACGCAAAAAAATGGAAAAGTACCACTCAAACAAATGAAAATAACTGTAATAATGGAAAAGACTCGACCAATGATCTCCTCCAGGGTGACTCAAAGAACATCTAGTACAGAGCAAACCCCTCCAAAAAAAAAAAAAAGAAGAAACAAACAAAAAGAAAACACTCACCGACACATTAAATGAAAGCTCAATTGTTGTCAGACAACCTCCAAACGCCGAATTCAAGCCACACCACACAGTGAAGCATGGTGCTTCAGGCATCATGTTATGGAGATGCTTCCCATACTGTAGTGTCAGGCCTATTTATTGCACATCAGAGATCACAGACAATTGAAAATTATGCAAGACGTGTCGCCTTGCACCAAAGAGGAAACCCATTTTAAATGGTTGCTTCAAAAACACAGTGATTCCGAGTACAAAAGTGACCGGCATCTAGGCCAACAATGTTACCAACGTAGAGTGACCACTCCAATGCTCTACAATACTTTAGTAAGGAATTGTAGAGTGAAGTGAAAAAATGCTGAGAATTGTGGAAATCAGTCCTGGGCTGGAAAACCTGTCACAGACCCCAGAAGTTGGTCAAAAAGTTCTCAAAATCAAGGGAAAGTTCGAGTATGTAAAGAAAAATCTAGACAGAGAAAGTTTTTTTTGTTTTGTTTTTTTTTTAGCAATCTGATATTAATTTTAATATTCAATGTCTGCAGTGGTAACACATTCTGAATAGTTTATTTTATGTTTTGCTCTGTAATAGAATATCATTCCCAATTGCATCTGTATGTATTGACATTAACTATGAGAATTTTGAAATTCACTTCTTTAAAACACACTGCTGTTACTTAGAACACAGCTGTATTTTCAATCCCTCCAAAAATATACTTGTGGTTCCAGTGGCTGAAGAAGTGTCCAAAAAAAAAAAAAACTTTCCACCAAAAGGCCAAAATTCACTCACAAATTAGCTTTCATTTCCAATGTCATCCATTTTGAAGCAAATGATTTTTTTTTTAATTTAATATCAGATCTCACTTTTTGATCATACAGATCCTCCTTTATTTGTAGACATTTACACTACACTGGTTTCAGGATCATATCCGACTACTATAAGGTGACTGTTGCTCTGTTTCTTTGAGCAATAAAAGATGTGAGTCGTGCTGATTTAGTTACATATCTAATCAGATAAAGTAATTACTTGAGTTCGTGTGTGAATCACCTGCATTCCAAGCTTTATTTTGTAGCTACGGCTAAAACAAGGCAGATTAAGATGATCAGAGTTCAAAAATCATGTCAACATTTGCCAAAAAGTTCCTTGTTTTTCAATAATTAGATGTTTAAGTCTCATTATTTACCATTTAAGTAAATTAATAGACTTTATTTATTTATTTATTTATTCTTTCAACCAGCTTTGGGAAATGGTTTCATTTCTGATTAAGTGTGATATGCCGCGGATTCTTTCTCAAATTATTCAAAGAACATAAACCTACCTTTCACTTTAGAGTCTCCTCCATCCGGACATTTCCTTTATGAATTCGGTGACTTGACTTTACGTCAAAAGAAGGAGAAAGTCTTATTTAGTTAGCACTGACAGTGCATGTGTCCTAGCACTTCTCCCGGTTACGCGTCCCTGAATCATTCGAAACAGCTGGACCTGAACAACAGGTAAGCGATGTTGCCTCCAAGTACCGCTTTAAAAAAACGGACAAACAACGTCCTCCTGCCTGACATACAGCTTCGGAACACATTGTTCACACAGACTTCTGTTCAATGTTTGTATAACTTTTCAAATTAACCACAAAACATCGGTCTTTAATGAAAAAAGAAAAGAAAAGAAAAGAAGAAGACATATCCTGGTTTGGGCGTTCTGATTGTTTTACCGCTGTAGTATCAAATTGTGACCACCAGGGGCAGCAAACATTAGCCATTCTAAATAGCCGTAAGCCATGTCCTTCCCGTAAACATTAGTCTTCATGTATGTTTATAGTGTCCTTGCCACGTAAGCAAGTAACCGCACAAGTAGCTACAGAATGAATATATTGTTTTAAAATAGTTTTTGTGATAAGAATATGTTGCGCATTTTGATTTCAGCTTGTGTTAAGTAACTGTCACTTCAGACAAATGCTTGCGTAAAACGACGGTTACTCAAAAACTGATATCCCACTAGAAACAGAGCCGCTGATTTTATTGATGTAGTTTATCAATATGGCCACAAGAGGGCAACGAAGTCGCAGCTCAGTATAAAGTTAGAGACAACCTCACTGCAGGCTCACTTCTGGTAACTACTTGTAAAATAAGACGACCAATAAATTCCTAATCTTTCAAAATAATGTTATTCTTTACATAAAAGTAAAATACAATGCTTAGCCAATTAATATCTGTTAGCATTAGTTTATTGTGTTTTTCCTTTTTTTCCCTATTTGAGGCGTGAGTAAACTAATACCTAATGAAACAATATTTTGTATGACAACCGAAAATTAACACTTAAAATTGTTTGCAAGCAACCATCATTATAACTGACTCCACACCTCCATAAAAGCCCTGGTTCATTGACCCTGGTTCAAGGAGCGGTCGCGATTAGGTTCATAAACTCGTTACTGAGATTAGTTTCATGACAGTAATAATTTCAGTCAAACACATTTTTTATATAAATGTTAAACTGATTCATGTCTTTTTATTTTTGAAACACATAAAAGAAGTGGTACTTTAACTTCTTACTAAGCAGGCTTGTTTCTTCATATCTTGTAATTACCCAGAACAACCAGAAGAGGGCAGTTTTGATTGCAAGCGGATTAAGTTGCTGTCCGTAATTTTCATGAACATCTGAGGAAAGGCTATCAATAATACTATCAAGCTATTAAAAATAAACTAGAGGGGGACATTAATCACAAATGACTTTTTTTGCCTAAAGATAAATCAGTAAGTGAGAAATATGGGCAAAATAGAAACTTTTTGTAGTTTGCCATAATGACCACCAGATGGCAGCATTCAAAAGTCCTTTTCAAAAGTAAAGTCAGTGAGAATGACTATAGAGTACTATTTCCGGTATGCACCGTCAAAATAAGCTCACCAAACTTGCTTCGTTACAATATTGACTTACTGAAAATACCCGTATTGTCACTGTTAGTAAAATAGCATTGCCTGCATAAAAAACTGGAGGTTTAGTTTCCTGCCTTAATACACTCTAATTGTGAGGGTAGTATTTTATTATTTAGTTTTAAGATGTGGGAACAGTGGTTGATTAACCAAACTGTTATCACAAACCACAAGTCATTAAGACTTATCTTATTTCAACCAACCTCTTCACGATAGCGCAAAATGAGCGGATATTCAAAATAACTCAGGAAGTTATAATAAGCCAAGCAAAATCTAACTATGACACATTTACCAAGACAACTAAACACTAAACAGTTACAAAAAGCGTGATCTATTCAGACTGTATTAAATAAGCTATTCTTTACATAACTGTATCTTTGTAAAACAAACGTAATAAATAAATCAGAAAAAAGGGGTACGAGTTGCAGAGATATAAATAAAAGCTAAATACCTCTTGAACTAAAATCTGAAAACTGTCTGCTAGTGATATGAGGAACACAAAGTAGTGAAAAACTGAGGTGGAGAGGAAATGAGGCGCAGTTGACTTTTTGTGACAAAATTGCGCAAAATACGGATTAATACATTGCGGAATGATCGTTAAGCACAGTACAATCCTGCAACAACCATAAAGACGGTGTGTTCAGTGGTGATTTTTCAACAGGCCTTTGCAGAACAACTGCAAAGATAAACCTATTTACAAATAAGTACATTTGGAAAATATTGTACGACTACACTAGACTTTATCTAGGGTCGTCAAAGTAAAGCAGTCTGGCCATACCTTTCTGAGTTTTATTCGTAAAAGCATATGAAATTCATGTATTCACTACATTGTGTTGCTCCATCACATTACACCCAAATAAAACTAGTTTAAGTCTGTGGTTGTAATATGACAAAATATGGTGTATTAATTTTATAAAGTGCTGCATTTTGGCTTAAACTTATTTGTAGAAAGAGCCAAATTAAAATTGACCAGCAACTGAGAAGCAACATATTTCTTCACCTACAGATCAAGAGTGAATTGCAACATAAAAACAGACAATTTCTCAGCTTTATTTTCTATAAAACAGATGAGTTTATTCAATGATCATTACATACGTATTCAGAGACCTCAAGAGACCACTCACATACCAAACAAAACTGAGGAAAATGTTATGACAACCCCCCAAAACAGAACAAATGCAACACAAAAATAAAATACCTGAATAAAGCAAATTCTGGGCTGAGCTGCATTTCAGCACATTCTCTGTAGAACTCATGGCACATTATGTCCAACAGTTATCATGGGAAGGAAAACAAAAGGATAAAATGGAATGAAAGTATCTTTCTTAACACTTTTGGAACAGATCTAATAATAATAACATTATATATTCATACATGGTGGCCTTGAAATAGAAAAAGAGTGAATTAAGCACTAAACCTTTCCAGCGCATCTTTTTAGTCTTCATCAACAGAACGTTTTATCTACATATCGGGAAACATGCCTCTCTGCATCACACAGTGGAAAAAAAGAAAAAACCCCTCACACATTCACGCAGTCGCTCAAATTTACACAATCGAACTCACAGACCAGACTGAAAACGCTAATGTGGAAACGCTGAAACACATCTAGCTAAAATCTGCCGAGAGAACAAAATGAGAAAAGTAGTTGTCAGATGTTTACACTTAAAGATGCCCAGCTAAAACTAAATTTTAAAACCAGAATATTGACACCGGGTAAAATATAAAATGCTGTCTTTACCTCTTTTTTTTCTCCTTTTTTTTTTTTAAAAACACAAACTCTCCAAACAAAAAACAACAAAAAAAAACAACAAAAATCTCCCTCCCGTTTAAAATATTAAACCTCCCACTCCTGATGTGCCACATTCTAAATCCCCTCAAAGTGTAATATAAGCCAACAAGAATTGCAATACAATACAGGCACTGGAGAAAAAAATACACTTTAAGAGACAAATAGAGAGGACAACATAAGTTCAGATTTTAGCCCAGCTCCAACAAAGTCTCCAGGAACAGAATTAGAACTTACATCCACTATTATCAAACAAGAACAAAGAAAACCATTTTCAACTTTTTTTTTTTTTTTTTTTTTTCTTGTTTTGACGTTTCTGGTTGATCTTTGTTTGTTTTTGTTTTTTTGAAACGCTGTCAAGAGTGCCTGTTGTGATTTGGAAGATGATTGAAAGCGGGAGCTTCGTCTGGTCCCATTAACTGTTTTTGTTACTAACTTGTTTTAGCTGTTAGCTACAAAAGATGAAATCGTTTCTTCTTCCTTAATTGTATCTTTCTTATGTTAAGCACTGATTTTAGTCACAACAGAATCCACAAAGGCAACACAAGAGGCTCATCCAATCCAGTAGTGACTGCTGTGAACAGCCGAACATCAATATCTGATAGTAAAACAAATATAACGACACTTGTAGTGAAACCCAACTAAAGCTCAGAAACAACTGGCTCTTTAACTCTTCTGGTAGCTAGTTTTTGTAGTTTTTAAATGACAAATACAAGATGAAAACTGATCTTTTCTTTGATAAATACTCACTGGAGCTATGATAATGAATATATTCAGTTTTTTTTTTTTTGCCCGCTATCTACCTACAATGCTTAGAGAAGTTATTTAGCATAAAAGATATTGAGTTGTTTGGCATAGGTGGTGGAGTGTGTTGGTGCAAGGAGAACCGAGGTGGAAAAGCAGACAGATCCAAAATAAACAGTTTTTGAAGCATAAGAAAATATTTTTTTACAGTAGATCCTAGATGATGGGAAAAAAACAACAACTCTGCACGGCTTCTGGTTTTTGTCTGTAAATGTTATTGGTTTGTCCATGTGTGCAGGCCATACAACATACTTATCTATTTAGGAAAGAGATGTAAGGCAAACTGTACCTTCTCTGCTGAGAAATATACATGATTTACAGTATGGAAGTTGCTCCCACCCCTTCCCCACCAAATATATATATAAAAAAAAAAAAAAAAGAAAAGAAAAAAAAAACCAGTTCACTAATGACAAAATAAACAACATAAAAGACAAATTTCTTCACGATTTTAGACATCTGGCAGTTTCAAAATACTTCTGCGCAGTCTGTCAGTAATTCAGAGCATTTTCACCACCTCCAGGACTGGGATGTCTTTACTCCTGCAGTATTGTTGTGCCAACACACAGTGAGAGAATCAAGTCTGACAAAGGCAACTTGCCAAAAAAAAAAAAAAAAAAAAAAAAAAAAAAAAAAAAAAAAAAAAAGGGGGGGTCCTTTTTTTTCCCTCCACAAGTAGAGATCAGGCAAGCAATGCTGGATTCCAAAAAAAAATGACATCCAAAACAATAAGAGTCCCCCACCATGTGTTCAGCCAATGGGGCCAAAGTGAGCCGTAACCGCTCGTCCAGCCAGCGTTTGTTTTCAGTCTCAACAGGGCTGGTTGTGTATGCATAAAGTCTGCGGAGCGGTCTGCGCTGCATTGTTGCCATGATTTTATTCAAGAGGATGCTTGCGGCATTCATTCACTTTTCTTCTTCTTCTTCTGCAGTTCATTCTGCTGTCCTCTTTTTCTCAAAACAAGTTCTCCTCAAAGATAGCCATTAAGTCACTTTGAAAATTCATATCAATAGTCGCTGCCATCTGTAGAAAGAAAAGAAGAACTCAGCATTTCAAATCAGCATTTTTTTTTTCCGGTTCTTTTTGCATGTGACGTAGAGAGTAAACGAGCGTCAGCTTACCACCTCCCTCCTCCGCCTCTCCTGTTCCCTTCGGCGTGCCAGTTCCCTCTGTTGGTCTAGTGAGTTCTGTGTGGAGGGCTGAGGCGGAGTGGCGGGTTGAGGAGACTGCTGGACGGCAGCCGGCTGGGATTCCTGCTGCACCTGCACCTGCTGCGGCTGTGGTTGTTGTTGAGAAGGGGCTTGGATGTGCTGCGGCTCGAGGCGGCCACGAGACTCCTCGTGCACTCTTCTGGGAGGAGGCTCGATGACGTCCTCTTCATCCCGCCCTCTGTAAGGCATTCGGACAAAGAATTTGCAATCAACAAATGCATAAAAGATGAATAAATGAAGCCCTTAAACGCACATCTTGTGTGAAGTTTAATGTCTTGTGGGGGAAAAAAAATTATTCCATATCTTTTAAAATAAGTTTTTTCACAGCACAAATATTAGTCTGTGTATCGAAGCAGAATGTCTACGATAATGCTACAGCTACATGTCTAACAAGCATCAGAATAAACTCTCTTGTTGCATTTATTTTCCTCTAAAATACTTTCTGAGCGTAATTTATAGATTAACATTCACATCCAGCCAGCAGCTGAATGTAGCTGTCTGACTTGTGTGTTTTCTTGTTCTACCGTTGTTTGTCCTGCTCTTTACGCAGCCGGTCTTTCTCCGCCTCTGCCTGGGCCTTCAGGGCCTTCTCCCTCTCCTCTTTCTCCCGGGCCGCACGGCGGAACTGCTCGAAGCTGTCACTCGATGACTTCACAGCAGATTGCGTTGTAGACGTTGACTTTTGTGCCAGGCTTGCCCATGAGCCCATATTTTTGAATTTCACGTCCTGAGAACGTAAACATGGAGATTTATTAGCAGTGCTGCTCAAGGCAAATATTCAGATTTACTACAAGTCCAGAAACGGAGCCTCTTACCCACCTGTACCTTTTTGGGAGCTACAGGGGTCTTGGGCTCCTGCTTGAATTTCTCCTTTTCCTGCAGGGTGGGAGGTGGCCCGCTGGGCTCAGAGGAACGGATGACGGGCCGTGAACTATCCACTGATTTTAAACCTGCCCAAAACATTCATACAAGCTTTGTCAGCATCTCAGGCCGTGCATTATTTCAAGCGTTTCATACAAAGTAAAATAAAAAAGTAAAATAAAAAGTGTGGAGTGCTCACTCTGTTGACTCTGGCCGGTCTGACTGAGCTTGATTTCTGGATGTTTGTGATGCTCTGCTCTCATCGCAGAGTTAAAATGCTCTCCTCTCATCACTGGTGACGGAGGAAGTTTTTCCTCTTTAACCGCAACTTGGCTTCCAGGGGCCCTCTGCTGCATGGTGAGAGAATGATTCAAGGTCACTGCTCCTGGCGTTTGCACCCATCTATAGAAAGACTTTGGTCTCTGTAAACATCTTACCTTTTTGGGTTGCATGTTGTGAGGTGGGGATGGGTGAGAGACGGGAGGAAACTGGGGGATTTGTGGGGAATGCATCATGAGAGGAGACGGGTTATCTCTTATGTGGCCTGTCAAGGAAGCAACAGACATCATAATCAAGCAGTTTTGGCATTTAGAAACAGCTAATAGCTGGGGGGGTTTTACATCGCTTTCTCACACCTACCAGTATTGTATGGGTCAGGTTTGGATGGCCGAGGGGAGGGCTGCTCCTGCTGCTGCTGCTGCTGGATGATCTGCTGTGCTTTGTTGGAGGACATCGAGATGTTGTGTTGCGACGCCTGGGACTGACCAGCGAGTCCCGGACCCTGCTGGTAGTTCAATTGATGCTGCTGCGCTTGCTGCTGTTGGTGTTGAGCGTTTTGCAGGTGGCGGGCCTGGTGTAGGGTAATCTGAGGGGGCGGGGCCTGATGTGATGCAGTGGGCTGGGCTTGAGAGGGAACAGAAAGCTGTGGAGGAGGCAGCGAAGTCTGTGCGGAGAGCTGCGACTGTGCCTGCATTGTCGCCGTCTGCAGGAGAGAAGTCTGTCCCAGCTGCTGCAGCTGCGGCGGCTGCTGCTGCTGCTGCCGAACCGGTGCCTGGTGCGACTGCATGGACTGCTGCGGCTGACGGGCCGGCTGGAACTGGTGTAGGAATAACTGCACTTGGTTCATAGGTGTAGTTGACCCTGGCTCTTCGTCGTCTTCCAACAGCATCTGGGGAGGCTGGGAAGACAGCAAACCTTGAGGGGTGAGAGTGGGGGGTGACATGGGCCTTTGGTGCAGGGGTTGGTGAGTGTGGAGGATCTGAGGGGGGATCTGAGAGGGGAGCTGATGCTGTGGTGGGGGGGCCGACTGAGGCTGGAGCTGCGGCTGCTGCTGTAGAGCTGGCTGCTGCTGCTGCTGCTGAGGTGGGGCTGGCTGCTGCTGCTGCTGCTGCTGCTGCTGCTGGGGCGGTTTTGGATGAAGAGGCGCTGCTTTGTGACTCGGCCGCGACGGCTGCTGAGGCATCGAACTGTGTAGAGCTGGGGTTGAACAAAAGATTCATATAGTTAACAAGAAGCAAAAAAGTAAATAAAAAATACAGAATCAATTGTTCAAACATCACGGTAAATCATTTATTCATGAATAATTCACTTTAATGTGATTCTGATTTGAAATGATCCTTTTTTTAATGTGCTTGAATTTCGATTTATTTATGTTTGTAAATCATCCTGAAGAATCCAAGTTGGCAAAACATAAGAGTTATTGTACAATAATATATTTTAAAACTATTAAAATAATTTTTTCTCTATATTTATTGTTAAGAAAATGTGTTTTTCCCCTTACAGATTTCATCTGTTTTTGTTTTTATTGTCACATTTTACTAATCATTAAAACTATTTTAATATCAGTCAAAGATAACCCGAGTAAATACAAAAAAGTGTTTTCAAATCATGATTTTATTCATCAGGGAAAAATAAAATATCCAAATAAGTCTGGTTCTCTGAAAAAGTTATTGCTTCCCTTTTTAATTGCGATAAAATGACTTTTTTTCAGAAAGGAAAACTCAATTTCACAAGCCAATGGTCATCATGGAAAAGTTTAAAAGGTCTGAAAAGGGTTACCAAGCCATTTGGAAAACTTTGGGATGCCAGCAAACTGAAATGAGGCAAAACCGGACATGCAGGAGTGGAAGAGACCAATCAACCAAAGTTACTCCAAGAGCAACCAGACTATTTAACCAGGACCAAAAACAACCCAGAGCAACATCTGAGGCTGGAGCTTCATGTTCATAAAAATATTAAACATACAAAGAAATGAACACTGTGGCCATAGTGAAAGAAGGAAGAGGTTTGGTTATGTTCAGAGGATGATTTGCTCCATCTGGCACNCACAAACTCTCCAAACAAAAAACAACAAAAAAAAACAACAAAAATCTCCCTCCCGTTTAAAATATTAAACCTCCCACTCCTGATGTGCCACATTCTAAATCCCCTCAAAGTGTAATATAAGCCAACAAGAATTGCAATACAATACAGGCACTGGAGAAAAAAATACACTTTAAGAGACAAATAGAGAGGACAACATAAGTTCAGATTTTAGCCCAGCTCCAACAAAGTCTCCAGGAACAGAATTAGAACTTACATCCACTATTATCAAACAAGAACAAAGAAAACCATTTTCAACTTTTTTTTTTTTTTTTTTTTTTCTTGTTTTGACGTTTCTGGTTGATCTTTGTTTGTTTTTGTTTTTTTGAAACGCTGTCAAGAGTGCCTGTTGTGATTTGGAAGATGATTGAAAGCGGGAGCTTCGTCTGGTCCCATTAACTGTTTTTGTTACTAACTTGTTTTAGCTGTTAGCTACAAAAGATGAAATCGTTTCTTCTTCCTTAATTGTATCTTTCTTATGTTAAGCACTGATTTTAGTCACAACAGAATCCACAAAGGCAACACAAGAGGCTCATCCAATCCAGTAGTGACTGCTGTGAACAGCCGAACATCAATATCTGATAGTAAAACAAATATAACGACACTTGTAGTGAAACCCAACTAAAGCTCAGAAACAACTGGCTCTTTAACTCTTCTGGTAGCTAGTTTTTGTAGTTTTTAAATGACAAATACAAGATGAAAACTGATCTTTTCTTTGATAAATACTCACTGGAGCTATGATAATGCATATATTCAGTTTTTTTTTTTTTTTGCCCGCTATCTACCTACAATGCTTAGAGAAGTTATTTAGCATAAAAGATATTGAGTTGTTTGGCATAGGTGGTGGAGTGTGTTGGTGCAAGGAGAACCGAGGTGGAAAAGCAGACAGATCCAAAATAAACAGTTTTTGAAGCATAAGAAAATATTTTTTTACAGTAGATCCTAGATGATGGGAAAAAAACAACAACTCTGCACGGCTTCTGGTTTTTGTCTGTAAATGTTATTGGTTTGTCCATGTGTGCAGGCCATACAACATACTTATCTATTTAGGAAAGAGATGTAAGGCAAACTGTACCTTCTCTGCTGAGAAATATACATGATTTACAGTATGGAAGTTGCTCCCACCCCTTCCCCACCAAATATATATATAAAAAAAAAAAAAAAAGAAAAGAAAAAAAAAACCAGTTCACTAATGACAAAATAAACAACATAAAAGACAAATTTCTTCACGATTTTAGACATCTGGCAGTTTCAAAATACTTCTGCGCAGTCTGTCAGTAATTCAGAGCATTTTCACCACCTCCAGGACTGGGATGTCTTTACTCCTGCAGTATTGTTGTGCCAACACACAGTGAGAGAATCAAGTCTGACAAAGGCAACTTGCCAAAAAAAAAAAAAAAAAAAAAAAAAAAAAAAAAAAAAAAAAAAAGGGGGGGCTTTTTTTTTCCCTCCACAAGTAGAGATCAGGCAAGCAATGCTGGATTCCAAAAAAAAATGACATCCAAAACAATAAGAGTCCCCCACCATGTGTTCAGCCAATGGGGCCAAAGTGAGCCGTAACCGCTCGTCCAGCCAGCGTTTGTTTTCAGTCTCAACAGGGCTGGTTGTGTATGCATAAAGTCTGCGGAGCGGTCTGCGCTGCATTGTTGCCATGATTTTATTCAAGAGGATGCTTGCGGCATTCATTCACTTTTCTTCTTCTTCTTCTGCAGTTCATTCTGCTGTCCTCTTTTTCTCAAAACAAGTTCTCCTCAAAGATAGCCATTAAGTCACTTTGAAAATTCATATCAATAGTCGCTGCCATCTGTAGAAAGAAAAGAAGAACTCAGCATTTCAAATCAGCATTTTTTTTTTCCGGTTCTTTTTGCATGTGACGTAGAGAGTAAACGAGCGTCAGCTTACCACCTCCCTCCTCCGCCTCTCCTGTTCCCTTCGGCGTGCCAGTTCCCTCTGTTGGTCTAGTGAGTTCTGTGTGGAGGGCTGAGGCGGAGTGGCGGGTTGAGGAGACTGCTGGACGGCAGCCGGCTGGGATTCCTGCTGCACCTGCACCTGCTGCGGCTGTGGTTGTTGTTGAGAAGGGGCTTGGATGTGCTGCGGCTCGAGGCGGCCACGAGACTCCTCGTGCACTCTTCTGGGAGGAGGCTCGATGACGTCCTCTTCATCCCGCCCTCTGTAAGGCATTCGGACAAAGAATTTGCAATCAACAAATGCATAAAAGATGAATAAATGAAGCCCTTAAACGCACATCTTGTGTGAAGTTTAATGTCTTGTGGGGGAAAAAAAATTATTCCATATCTTTTAAAATAAGTTTTTTCACAGCACAAATATTAGTCTGTGTATCGAAGCAGAATGTCTACGATAATGCTACAGCTACATGTCTAACAAGCATCAGAATAAACTCTCTTGTTGCATTTATTTTCCTCTAAAATACTTTCTGAGCGTAATTTATAGATTAACATTCACATCCAGCCAGCAGCTGAATGTAGCTGTCTGACTTGTGTGTTTTCTTGTTCTACCGTTGTTTGTCCTGCTCTTTACGCAGCCGGTCTTTCTCCGCCTCTGCCTGGGCCTTCAGGGCCTTCTCCCTCTCCTCTTTCTCCCGGGCCGCACGGCGGAACTGCTCGAAGCTGTCACTCGATGACTTCACAGCAGATTGCGTTGTAGACGTTGACTTTTGTGCCAGGCTTGCCCATGAGCCCATATTTTTGAATTTCACGTCCTGAGAACGTAAACATGGAGATTTATTAGCAGTGCTGCTCAAGGCAAATATTCAGATTTACTACAAGTCCAGAAACGGAGCCTCTTACCCACCTGTACCTTTTTGGGAGCTACAGGGGTCTTGGGCTCCTGCTTGAATTTCTCCTTTTCCTGCAGGGTGGGAGGTGGCCCGCTGGGCTCAGAGGAACGGATGACGGGCCGTGAACTATCCACTGATTTTAAACCTGCCCAAAACATTCATACAAGCTTTGTCAGCATCTCAGGCCGTGCATTATTTCAAGCGTTTCATACAAAGTAAAATAAAAAAGTAAAATAAAAAGTGTGGAGTGCTCACTCTGTTGACTCTGGCCGGTCTGACTGAGCTTGATTTCTGGATGTTTGTGATGCTCTGCTCTCATCGCAGAGTTAAAATGCTCTCCTCTCATCACTGGTGACGGAGGAAGTTTTTCCTCTTTAACCGCAACTTGGCTTCCAGGGGCCCTCTGCTGCATGGTGAGAGAATGATTCAAGGTCACTGCTCCTGGCGTTTGCACCCATCTATAGAAAGACTTTGGTCTCTGTAAACATCTTACCTTTTTGGGTTGCATGTTGTGAGGTGGGGATGGGTGAGAGACGGGAGGAAACTGGGGGATTTGTGGGGAATGCATCATGAGAGGAGACGGGTTATCTCTTATGTGGCCTGTCAAGGAAGCAACAGACATCATAATCAAGCAGTTTTGGCATTTAGAAACAGCTAATAGCTGGGGGGGTTTTACATCGCTTTCTCACACCTACCAGTATTGTATGGGTCAGGTTTGGATGGCCGAGGGGAGGGCTGCTCCTGCTGCTGCTGCTGCTGGATGATCTGCTGTGCTTTGTTGGAGGACATCGAGATGTTGTGTTGCGACGCCTGGGACTGACCAGCGAGTCCCGGACCCTGCTGGTAGTTCAATTGATGCTGCTGCGCTTGCTGCTGTTGGTGTTGAGCGTTTTGCAGGTGGCGGGCCTGGTGTAGGGTAATCTGAGGGGGCGGGGCCTGATGTGATGCAGTGGGCTGGGCTTGAGAGGGAACAGAAAGCTGTGGAGGAGGCAGCGAAGTCTGTGCGGAGAGCTGCGACTGTGCCTGCATTGTCGCCGTCTGCAGGAGAGAAGTCTGTCCCAGCTGCTGCAGCTGCGGCGGCTGCTGCTGCTGCCGAACCGGTGCCTGGTGCGACTGCATGGACTGCTGCGGCTGACGGGCCGGCTGGAACTGGTGTAGGAATAACTGCACTTGGTTCATAGGTGTAGTTGACCCTGGCTCTTCGTCGTCTTCCAACAGCATCTGGGGAGGCTGGGAAGACAGCAAACCTTGAGGGGTGAGAGTGGGGGGTGACATGGGCCTTTGGTGCAGGGGTTGGTGAGTGTGGAGGATCTGAGGGGGGATCTGAGAGGGGAGCTGATGCTGTGGTGGGGGGGCCGACTGAGGCTGGAGCTGCGGCTGCTGCTGTAGAGCTGGCTGCTGCTGCTGCTGCTGAGGTGGGGCTGGCTGCTGCTGCTGCTGCTGCTGCTGCTGCTGGGGCGGTTTTGGATGAAGAGGCGCTGCTTTGTGACTCGGCCGCGACGGCTGCTGAGGCATCGAACTGTGTAGAGCTGGGGTTGAACAAAAGAT